TAGGGGTATTTTTGAGGGGTGGGGGCTCAAGCCTAAGCTCTAGATAGGGTAGAATTTAATATATTTTATTCTTAGTAAAGCGGAACTAATAAATAACTTCCTTATTAAATAAATAAATAAGATTAAACTAAAATAAGCGATATAGTAGTATACTATATTAATAAGTCTAATTTTTAATATATATTAGGGTAGTAACCTAAACTACTACTATAACTATAATTACTACTAATTTATTATTCTTTTATCTATTTATTTTATTTAGCTAAATATATTTATAAATAAGTAGCTATAATATTAATAATATTTAAATAAAATAAATCTTATTATTTAATTATTATTAAGTAATATAATATCTTATAGGCTAGCTTATAGATATATTTAGCTAAAATACCCGTCGAAGCATATATCCTTGCTAGTAGCGCCTTCCTAGGCCTGATTAGGTAATCTAGGCCAGTTCTTATTACATGCCTCGATTTCGTTGCAAAATCCCTCTAATAACTACTTAAAAGTCAAACCAAACGACGAGAGGGAGTACTGTATAAATCAAGGGTGAACCCCTGTACCGCGTATACGGGTGCGTGAGTAGAGATGCCAGGGTGATGCCCGCTTCCGGGAGAGGGGCGAAGAGGGAGGGAAGGGGGAGGGAGAATCCGTCCAGGAGTCGACCAACCGGCGACGGGGGAAGAGACGGTTCCCTGGCCATGGACATCTCGACTGTCCCTCTCTCATCTATCCGACACTAAAGCTAGTTTAATACGACAACTATAGTTTCCGCACATATACCTCTTTCGCATCCCTCACTCTCACACTCCCCAGCGTGTGGAGGGCTCACTTGACAGCTGTTCTTGTCGACGGGACAGTCCAGATCCCAATCTATGCACATGATCGGATAATCCGTGGAAGGGGGCATGTACAGAATCATCTGGCTGCACAACCAACGGGACTTGAAAAAAAGAAAGAAAGAAAGAAAGAAAGAAAGAAAGAAAAGGAAGAAGACGACGGGCGAGAGAGAGAGCCTGTATATGTGTATGGAGTAGCTATTACTTATCAGGTAAAAGGCCCAGCAGTGCTGACGAGTAGATTCATGCTTGCTGTTCGTCTCCGCCCCAGCAAGAGGGAAGTTGACTGTCAACGTACATAACCAAGAACTAGTTAACTAGCGTATCCGACCAACTGTCTGGCGCGTTACCGGCTATGTAAGTACATGTCGAGTACATATAAAATAGTCGACTCCATCGCCAATATGCAGGCAGAAAGGAGAAAAGGAACAACTAACTGTGACCGGAGAGACATCACCACGAGCTCACCGTCTTCTCTCGGAGTTTGGACAGAGGGACTCACCCCATTGGCTGCCTGTGATGCCGGTGTAAACCATCCCATGCGGAGGCGAGGCTTTTCTCTTTTTGCTCTTGCTCTCTCACGCTTTACCTCTCATTTTTGCCCGGCTGCTGCTGCTCTCTTCCAACTGTACAGAAGAATGTCGTCTGATATGTTGGCGATCAAGCTGGGCGACCAAACTAGCCCAAATCCAACCCGAGCCCCATCCCCGTTCATAGGCAACACCAGCAACGCTTGCGTTTCAAGTGACGGTGCTGATCTTGCTGCTTAAGCTCGCCGTCGTTTAAACTAAAAAAGGGGGGGGGGAGGGGATGGACGGGTAGATGCCTTGATGGTGGTGGTGGTGGTGGACAGAGAGGGCTATCACGCTGCTCTCCCTCTCCTGGGGGGCAGAACCTGCGGCTAGGTTCAGTCTAAGCATGCTAGTCCTTGCTGGATAAATAGCTAGTCAGTCAACCGTTCGTTTAAAGCAAGGAAAATAAGAAAATAAGAAGCCCGCCAGCGAGTCTCCCAACGCTCGCACAAGCACAAACGGGGGTGTCAGGACGAGAGGGCAACGAGAGCGCTCCCAAAAAGCAACGAGCATCCCCCAGTCGCTGGACGCTGTCGGTCGTCGTCATAAGTAGCGAGCAAGTACCTACCATGCATCCGCAGCCTGCAGGGTGAAGGAGTACCGTTGCAAAGAAGTGACTTCTGCCTTGCCTAGCTGGCCCTGTCTTTCTTGTCCTCTTCTTGTCCTCCTGTCTTCTTCCTGTCTCCCGGCGTCTCTCTGGCCTGCCTGTCCTGCCCGTCCTGCCCGTCCTGCCTGTGTCTCTCTGCTTTCCTTCCCACTGCCGCCGCTCTCGACCTTTTTGTCGTCGTCGTTTCTCGTGCTTAGTCAGCAGGAGGGAAGAGGAAGAAAAAGCTAGGACCCCTTTTTTCTACCGCTCACGCACCGCTTCTTTTTCTGCCACTTCCCTCCCCCCTTTGCCCGCCTTTTCTTCCTCCCGACTTCGACTTCGACTTCGATTTCGACTTCGACCTCAAACCTGCCCCAACCCTCGCCCACCCACGCTCTCTCGCCCGCATCTCGGTTTCGGCGTCGTCTTTGCCCGCCGCCTATCGCTGTCTCGACCGGCTGCACTGCTTACGGGCCTCTCGCGGCCTCGTTGTAGTGTTGGCTTTTCTCTCCTGGACTCCAGAGACGTTCGAACCCGCCGCTCCTCGCTTTCTCGCCTACGCTACCCCGGATCGCCCTGTCGACCTCATATCACCCACCAACTCCTTTTTCTTTTCTTTTTTCCGCTTCCTTTTCTCTTACATAGCACACTCCCTCCTCGTCTGATTGCCTCCAATGTCGAATTCGCGCTGACTGCGTGGTGTGTACGCATCTGAGCTTTGGATATCAAGCCTACTGTCTCGGTTGTCGTCGACTCGTTCCACGTTGCAAAGTGGTTGAAACGGGCGAAAAGAAAAAAAAAAAAAAAAAAAAAAAAAAAAAAAAAAAACGAAAAGGCTGGGGAAAAAGAAGCAAGCTAAACCAGCCAGAGGAAAAGTATTCTTAAAAAGACGAAAAGGAAAGGAGAACTATTATATTATATTTCAGCGACCATCATGGCTCCAGAGGACGAGACGTTGTTGGCTGCTGCTGCTCTACTTCAGAGCCTAGCAAAGGATACACCACTACCCGCCTCGTTCCCTTTCAACGGCCACAAGTACAACCAGCCTCCAAAAAATGGTTGTGATGTCGCCAAAATCAAGCTTCCCGGGTTAGAAAGTGATGGAAAGGCCGCATTAGAGCGTGAAATAGCTGCTCTTATCGGGCGCGTTAACACTTTACAATTCTTTGTGGTATGTTCAGGAAGTCATTTACTCTGTCCCTGTCTTGTGGTACCCTGGGAGGGGGTAATGATCTCTCTAACTGTCCTTTGCAGCCGCCCTCTCGACACACTCGTGCGTCGAATCTTAAGAATATCAATAATGAGCACGACAACGACCAAGACACAGACTCGAAAACCATCTGTGAAGATGACACCAGCGAAGATGACGATGACGATGAAGATGATGACATTGTCCAAGTTAAGAATCCTTATGAAGACGATATAACTTATCTACGGAACCGTGTTCAATTACAGGCCGACGAGATCAAGTTGCAAAAGGAAATAATCACTCGTGTGCGAGACGAGCTACGGTTACAAGAAGAGCGTACTAAGAACGCACTGGTCAAGGTAGAAACAGAAGATGTCGGCCTTCTTGAGCGTGAGCTTCGGAAACATCAACAGGCCAACGAGGCCTTCCAGAAGGCTCTCAGGGAAATCGGAGGTATTATCACTCAAGTCGCCAATGGTGACCTCTCCATGAAAGTACAGATACACCCACTTGAGATGGACCCCGAAATTACCACTTTCAAACGCACCATAAACACCATGATGGACCAACTCCAGGTATTCGGAAGTGAAGTGTCTAGGGTGGCAAGAGAGGTCGGAACTGAAGGTATTCTTGGTGGTCAAGCCCAGATCACTGGTGTTAACGGCATCTGGAAGGAGTTGACTGAAAATGTCAATATCATGGCCAGCAATCTCACTGACCAGGTCCGAGAAATCGCTACTGTCACTACTGCCGTCGCTCATGGTGACTTGAGTCAAAAGATCGAACGCCGCGCCAAAGGAGAGATTCTTGAACTTCAACAGACAATCAACACTATGGTGGACCAACTTCGTACTTTTGCAACTGAAGTCACTCGTGTCGCTCGTGACGTCGGAACTGAGGGTGTTCTCGGCGGCCAAGCTCAGATTGAGGGGGTAAAGGGCATGTGGAACGAGTTGACAGTTAATGTCAACGCTATGGCCGAGAACCTCACCACTCAGGTCCGAGACATTGCTATGGTTACCACCGCTGTCGCCAAAGGTGATCTTACCCAAAAGGTTCAAGCCAACTGCAAGGGTGAAATCCTTGCATTGAAGACCATCATTAATTCAATGGTTGACCAACTTAAGCAATTTGCTCAAGAGGTCACCAAGATTGCCAAGGAGGTCGGCACAGATGGTATGCTTGGTGGCCAAGCTACCGTCCATGATGTTGAAGGAACCTGGAAGGATCTTACGGAGAATGTGAACGGCATGGCCATGAATCTTACGACCCAGGTCAGAGAAATTGCTGATGTCACTACAGCTGTCGCAAAGGGAGATCTCACCAAAAAGGTTACTGCTGAAGTCAAGGGAGAAATTTTAGATTTGAAGAACACCATCAACAGCATGGTGGACCGATTGAATACGTTCGCCTTTGAGGTCAGCAAAGTTGCTCGAGAGGTCGGAACTGATGGAACTCTTGGTGGGCAAGCAAAGGTGGACAACGTCGAAGGAAAGTGGAAAGACCTAACCGACAATGTCAACACTATGGCTCAGAATCTCACTGTCCAAGTGCGAGCTATATCTAATGTCACCCAGGCTATTGCTAAAGGAAACATGAACAAGAAGATCGACGTTCACGCGCAAGGTGAAATACTCACTTTGAAAGACACCATCAACAACATGGTTGACCGACTTGCCAACTTTGCTCATGAGCTGAAAAGAGTTGCCCGTGATGTCGGCGTTGATGGAAAGATGGGAGGGCAAGCCAACGTTGAAGGTATCTCTGGAAGATGGAAAGAAATTACGGAGGATGTCAACACCATGGCAGACAACCTTACCTCCCAAGTGCGCGCCTTTGGAGAAATTACGGATGCCGCCACAGATGGTGATTTCACAAAACTCATTACTGTTGAAGCATCGGGTGAGATGGACGAACTGAAAAAGAAGATCAACAAGATGGTATCAAGCCTCAGAGACAGTATTCAGAGAAATACAGCTGCTCGAGAAGCCGCCGAATTGGCTAATCGCACAAAATCTGAATTCCTGGCTAACATGAGTCACGAAATCCGTACGCCAATGAATGGTATCATCGGTATGACCCAGCTTACTCTTGATACTGATGATCTCAAGCCTTATCCTCGTGAAATGTTGAATGTCGTGCACAGCTTGGCCAACAGTCTGTTGACCATCATTGACGACATACTAGATATCTCTAAGATCGAGGCTAATAGGATGGTCATTGAGAGTATTCCCTTCACAATGAGGGGTACAGTTTTCAACGCCCTGAAAACTCTTGCTGTGAAGGCCAATGAGAAGTTCCTCAACTTGACATACCAGGTTGATAGCTCAGTGCCCGACTATGTTATTGGAGACCCCTTCCGTCTCCGCCAAATTATCCTTAATCTAGTTGGAAATGCGATCAAATTCACTGAACATGGAGAAGTCACTCTTGAGATCAAGAAGCATGTACCTCCACCACCTGCAGAGGGCGAGCCTGAACGTGAGGTCTGCGCCGACGACGAATACGCCTACGAGTTCTCCGTCCAGGATACTGGTATTGGTATTGCTAAGGATAAGTTGGACATGATTTTCGATACTTTCCAGCAAGCAGACGGTTCTACCACTCGCAAGTTTGGTGGCACCGGGTTGGGATTGTCTATCTCCAAGCGCTTGGTTAACCTAATGGGCGGTGACGTCTGGGTCACTTCAGAATACGGTCGCGGTAGTACCTTCCACTTCACCTGCGTTGTCAAGAAGGCAGATCAATCTCTGGATGTTATTGCCTCCTCTTTGATGCCGTACAAGGGGCATTCCGTCCTATTCATTGACAAGGGATTCACTGGAGACTATGCCGAAAATATCATTGGTATGCTCAGGGCCCTTGACTTGGTTCCAATTGTTGTCCACAACGAAAACAATGTGCCTCCGCCAGAAATCAAAGACGAAGAAGGGAAAGAGGCAGGGCATGCTTATGATGTTATCATTGTCGACATGATTGAAACTGCACGAACCCTCCGGACCTTTGATGAGTTCAAATATATTCCCATTGTGCTTCTATGCCCAGTGGTCTCTGTTAGCTTAAAATCCGCGCTTGACCTTGGAATTACATCATACATGACAACCCCATGCCAGCCAATTGATCTTGGCAACGGCATGCTCCCTGCACTAGAGGGCCGTTCTACGCCCCTCACTTCGGACGACTCTCGGTCTTTTGATATCCTCCTGGCAGAAGATAATGATGTTAACCAGAAGGTCGCGGTTAAAATACTAGAGAAATGCAACCATGGGGTCACCGTCGTCGGCAACGGACTCCAGGCACTCGAGACTATCAAGAAGCGCCGCTTCGATGTTATCCTTATGGATGTCCAAATGCCAATTATGGGTGGTTTTGAAGCAACTGGTGAGATCCGTGCATACGAGAAGCGCCATGGCCTGACAAGAA